GGCGGTAACCTTGATTGATGATTGTTGAAATGATGACGATGATGACTGGTGACTATGATTTCAATGATGATGATAATGATGATGATGATGCTGATGCTGATTCAAATGATGATGATGATGAATACTGCTGACGAGAGTCAACTTTCGATGAAAGAGATCACGATGAAACTAAATGATGACGATGATGATAATGATGACGATGATCACTGATGACTACGATCAAGATGGTGAAATTGCTAATTACGCGCCCTGTGGTGATGCACTAATGGTGATGATAATAGGGATGGGCAACACCCTAGCACCCTGAAGTAGTGAATTATGAATGAGGTGCTTGCACGCTAGCCAACTTACCTTGTTTCCAGTACTAGTAACGCAATATTACTGACAAGCTGCTCGCGGCCCCAGTTACTTCCTTAATGATGATGAAGAGCATCAGCCTGATGATATCGGTGGTGACGGTGAGCAGCCGTAATGATGATAACGGAACCCTTACGTTGTTCCTTTGAGTCATGCTCGACAACAGTGATGATGAAAAAATGATGATGGCAATGACGAACAGCCTTGATGATGATGAGGAAACCCCACCATGTTCCTTTGAGTTATGGCCGATCCCTGATGCTGATGAACGAGAACGCTTATGATGACGGGTAGCTACTTCACTCGCACTTCGGGTCACCCAAGGCTCACTCCGCTGAACTCCACAGGCATCCCCAGAGACGACACCTCACAGGCTCTATGCCACGGGCAAAAACGCAGCAGCAATGGAGTATGAACGCGAAACTCCCAGAAAACCCCCGGGAGTCAGTCTATTCTCCTTATCAACTTGTGACACGGTATAGACAAGCACCCTCGCTCCCCGCGCGTGCGCAAATCGCTTAACAAGCAGCTGCTGTAAGCTCGACCCCCAGCCCTGCAACACCTCGTCACCCCACCAGCGCCTCTGTCACGCCATCGCCATGCAGTACTTCGTCCGTATGAACGCGCCAGAGCGAAGCCGGTTCACGCCAGGCGCCCTCCCGCTTCGCCACCTCGCTCCGTCGCCGCGGTCCGTACCGGGGCGCAGCGCTCCGGGTAGCGCTGCGCCCCGCCCCACGGCAGCTGTAAAACCCGGCCCTAACTCTTATTTTCAAATTTCTTGTGCGCCTATCTCATGCCCATGGGCAACTTACAACCACTTTTTTTTTTTTTTTTTTTTTTAAAGGGCGATGGCCTTGAGCTATTATCATCGGACTAATTATTATTATTATTTTTTTTTAATGACCAAGAAAAATTCAATCTTGTGTCTAATCAGACACCAGGTGGCCTTGTTGCCTTCAAGGAACCCCCAATGGGGGACACCGGCCAGGAACAGCTGGTAGCAGAGGGACCGAGCATCATCAGAGCGGCCAGTCGCGGTACCTCCCCAATCACCCCTCCCCCTATAAACATCACCAGAGACTGCTTTTTAAACCACCAGTACCTACCGGTTGTCAAGGCCCGTGGCTCAGGCTACCGGTAGCCTGGTCATTGCCAAGCCTCGGACTTTATTGCCGAGCCTTGGACAACCGGTAGTACACAACGGAAAAAAAAAAAAAGAACACAAAAAAGCATACAACATTCTGCAAAAGAAAAACAAAAAAAACTAAAACGAAACAAGACATGCCCAACGTGAATGAATCTTCCTCGATAAAGAGGAAGATTCATTCTCGTGAGAGAGAGAGAGAGATTTCATTAAGGGGAAAAAAAAAAATACCAACGGGCGATGTGTTCAGATATGGCTATCCTCTAGAGGTTGTGATTGTTCTCGGTGGTTGTGCTTTTAGGCTTTTGGGATTCCTTGCAATTTCCTTGAGGCGATTTTTGATGTTGTTTTATTCATAGACCTGCGGTTGTTTGATGCCAGAACGGTGCTGGCCGGTGCTGGGGGGTTTACCCTGTAACTTGTTGACAGCAGGAGTTTGAGGTCTGGTAGAGAGATCTGGGAATGCCTAGGGGGGGCATTTTACGGGACAATCAAGGGTTCCTATCGAAGGCGATGCTGGCCGGAGTCGGGGTGAGTTGCCTTGCGCTGTAACCTACAGCGGGGGTGAGAGGCTTGGTAAAGCTTGGTAGGGAATAGTGTCTGAGGACTTCGAGGGGCGTTGTGGCGCTTTAGAGTGTTTGAAGACAATTGCTGGGATTTTCGTTGGTGGATAGTCTCCCAAATTTACCTCAAATAGCATTGAATTTTGTTAAAAAAAAGAGGGAATGTTTTAGGATTCTGGGGACTTCTAGCAACTCGCTTTAGGCTGTTTGGCACTGATACATTCATGGATCTGCGGTTGTTCAATGCCAGAACGACGTTGGCCGGTGCTGGGGTGTTGCCTTGTAACCTGCTGATTGCAGGAGCGTGAGGCCTGGTAGTCTGGTAGAGAGATCTGGGGATGCTTTGGGGTGGGCATTCCAAGGGACAACCAAGGGTAGCTGTTCGGACGACGCTGGCCGCAGTTGCGGCGAGTCGTGTTGCTCTGTAACCTAGCCAGGTGGGGGTGTGAGGTCTCAAGAGCTGGAATAAGACAGTGTTAGACAGTTTTAGAGAGTTTTGTTTGGGAGTATAGGGGTTCTGAGCATTCGAAAAGAGGCGAGTAGTCATTCATAATTTTTTAACCTCTCCTTTAATTCTCTTGAATTTCTTCAATAGTTCTAAAAAAAATATTCGCCAATAGTGGTCTTACAAATGATTTGTGATTCTGGGGACTCCTAGCAACTCATTTTAGGAGGCTCCATTGCTGTTATACTCAGTGATCTGCGGCTGTCCGATGCCAGAACGACGTTGGCCGGTACTGGGGTGTTGCCCTGTAACCTGTTGATGCAGGAGTGTGAGGCCTGGTAGAGAGATCTGGGAATGCTTTGGGGTGGGCATTCCAGGGGACAACTAAGGGTTGCTGCTAGGACGACGCTGGTCGGAGCTGGGGCGAGTCGTGTTGCCCTGTAACCCAACAGGGTGGGGGTATGAGGCCTGGAAGAGCCCGGCAGGGAGTAAGACACTGTTGGAAGAATTTTAGAAGGGATTGCTAGGGATTCTGAGGGTTTTGAGCATTTGTAGGACCTTTGTGGTAGTGATCTTTTCTAAAAAAGTTCAGAATTCGTGCAGCTTAGAAGGAAACTTCTCATTTTTTTTCTCCTCATATTCTTTCAGATTTTTTCAGACCTTTTCTGAATTTTAGCCTATCTCGTGGGGTTCTTCACCGAATAGGCTAATAATTGATCATGCTCCTATTTCCAGAGTCCAGACAAAGGGTCTCTCTGCACTACGCTATACTCGAGCAAAACCAAGAGTGCAGCACCGCCGCACCTACTCAAGAAATGGGCGCTCTTGAAAACGTTATCGGGCTGTCAGAAACAGCTCCAGAAATCTGCAAGAGTTGTCGTTGCTGCACCTGCTCGAGAATTTTGCTCTAGTTACCACCGAATAAGAAAATCCCAGAGGAAAAGGCACCTAAAATGAAATATTTTAATCCAGCCTCTGTAGAGAATTCAGAATTTCGTTCTCTAGGCTGTTCTTGAGTACCAGCCTGCAAGGACTGTTTTTTTTAGGGAGCTCCGAAGGACCCACGGAACGCCTGGAATTTCCTTGAGTGCACCTCGAGTCTGGGCAGACAACCCAGGCTGGCTCTGTCTGGTAGTGAAGCTTCCGAACTCGTAGAAGCTCATGAAAAATTGTCGGATCCCATAGTGCTACTCTAGAAGTTCAAGAGTCTAGAGCACATGCGGCTATGCGTGGGTTTCGGGACTTTTCTAGAGTCTGACAGCTCTAGATCAACTCGTGAAAAGTTGCACGAGTATAGAGTAGTGCAGCGAGACCCAAAACCGGGTAAGAGTCCCGGTATCTCAAAGTTTTTCTGTATATGTTCTCAAACATGTTTCATGTTTCAAATGGGACGCTGTGCCCGGATCCCAGCACGCGCAGCTCCCCACGAATAGATGGGAGCATTGTTCCCAAAAAAGAAAAAAGAAAAAAAAAAAAAAAGA